ACACGCGGGACCAGCACCTGGGCCGCTCCCTCCCCGTCGGGTCGCTTTGGTGCTGGTTTCCCTCCCTCCCTGCCAAGGCCACTTCCACCCTGAGAGCTCCAGGGCCTGCAAAGGAGGCAGCGGGTACTGGGGCTTTCCTCTGGGGCTTTGGCGCCCTCCACACTGCTCTCAGGAGAGGGAACCATCTGTGGGGGTGCAGGTGGCAGCGGGGGCTCACACTGACCTGCGTCCTCGCCAGCACACAGGCCACCCCCAGGGCCAGCCCGAGGAGGAAGGAGACCACTGCCAGGGCCACAGGGAGGGCAGAAGCTGTCGGCAGGGCAGGGAGGGCAGAGGCTGTCGGCAGGGCAGGGAGGGCAGAGGTTGTCGGCGGGACAGGGAGGGCAGAGCCTGTCGGCGGGGCGTCCGAGCATCTGTGCAATCCTTGGGACTGTTCCTCTGGGAAGGAAGGAAGGGATTCTCCCAGTGGAGAACCTGTTAGAGCCCCCGGGGTTTGGGGTTCAGGGCAGGGAAAGGCTGTGGAGCGGAGGAGGGGCAGCTATCTAGGAGGCTGCTGGGGATGGTGGGCTGGGAGCTGGAACAGTTCAGGCACGTGTAGGAGGGAGGGTCCCCCGACAAGGGCGGGGGGAGCAGAGCCTGGCCAGCAGCCTGGGTTGGGGGGGGTGGTCTGGGATGGGCGCATTCCCTACCTGTCACCAGGACCAGGGTACCGGAGCCGTAGACATTGATCTCCGTGACGGCCTGGCAGGTGTAGGTGCCAGTGTCCGACGGCTGCAGGTGGTGCATGGTAATAGTCAGGTTGTCCTGGGACCCCGAGAAGTCAATGCGGCCCTGGAACCGTTTGTCCGTAGTGGGCACCACCCTGTCCTCGTAGTAAATGATGTTTTGGGGCTGTGGCCCGAGCTGCCTCAGGTAGATCCCATGCAGGTCCCCGCTGGTGGAGCAGGTGATGTTGACGGAGCCTCCCACGGGGGCAATCGTGCAGTGGGGAGACTGCTGCACCTCTAGGGAGGACCTGGGCTGTCACCACCAGTCGGGCCAGAAGGACAGAGAATGTCCTTCCTGCAGGGGACAGTGGTGGGGACGGTGGGGCCCCGGGACAGCCCAGGGATGACATGTCGCCACAGACACGGTGCCTTTCGGGGCGTGGAGCAGATCTGGGCACCAGCAGCGGTGCTGTGCTTCTTCCTCCCAAAGCAGCGGCCCTGCCTGGACAGCCCCGGCCACTCCCCAACGGGGTCCACCCTTCTTCCTTCTCTTAAACGAGTCCCCAGACACTGGAGGCCGCTCGGCACCCCACCCGCTTCCTGGGGGCTGTGCTGTGGCCCAGGTTGGGGGCGCTGAGCTCACAGGGCAGGGAGAGCTCCGGAGCTGTGGCCATGGAGGGTCTGGGAAGCTCTTACCTTGGGCGGCCAGGGCCCCAGGCAGGCCACGAGCCAGCGCCAGGAGGAGGGGCAGCAGCAGGAGCCTCGGGGGCCCGGCCATGTTCCCCACACCCAGCTCTCCCAGCCTGATGAGTGCAGCTGAGCCCCTCCGGGTCTGCAGGACCCCACAGAGAGCAGCACACGGGAGACCGCAGGCGCTCAGAGCTCAGAGAGGGCTTCCTGGAGGCGGTGCCTCAGACCAGGGGAGTGATGTGGGCCCCGTGGGAGGTGCGGCCTCACCTACCCCTCCCCAGCACTGCTTCCCTGAGAGCCGCCCTGAGATCAGGGTGTCCTTGTCCCTCCCCGCCCCTGCAAATCCACAGGGAGGAGGTCAAGGCCTGGGGCTGGGCAGACGAGAGGACAGAGAAGGGACCACCTGGCTGGGGACAGGCGACAGGGTCTGGAGGTGAGGGGCAGGGCTGGCTTCCCAGCCTGCCTGGTCCTCTGGGGTACTTTCTGCTGGAACCCAACTTATGCCCAGAAATCCGGAGTCACCCATGAGTCACGCACACAGTGCACAGGAGCGCAGGGCAGGCCAGAATTAGCACCCCCTGGTTTGGCCGTGGGGAAGGAGGCTGGGCCTGTGCCCGTGCCCAGCACTGCAGCCGACCAGCCAACCGTGGCACTGTGTTCCACGTCCTGGGGACGAGAGGGCTGAGCCGTGGTCCAGGCCTGAGGTTCCCCCACCTCCCTGGGAGGAGTGTATCAGGCCACAGTGCCCAGCTTCAGGGGCTGAGGGAGACCTGTGCCTGGCTCTAACCCCAGGGGGACTGAGTCCTCTGGGACGGGCACTTCTCTGTCCTGACGGCCTCCCACCACAATGACAAAGCGTTGACGTCGGTGCCCAAAGCCAGCAGGTGCAGCACATGAGCAGGAGCCTGCGGACACGCATGTGTGCAGAGACAGGTGTGTGTGACTCCACTCGTGTGCAGAGATGGGTGCACGTGACTCCACGCGTGTGTGCAGAGATGGGTGTGTGTGGACACGTGTGTGCAGAGACGGGAGTGTGTGGACACACTGTGCAGAGACAGGTGCGTGTGACCCCACTCGTGTGCAGAGACGGGTGCGTGTGGACACGTGTGTGCAGAGATGGGTGCGCGTGACTCCACACGTGCGTGCAGAGATAGGTGCGCGTGACTCCACGCGTGTGTGCAGAGACAGGAGCGTGTGGACATGCGTGCGCAGAGATGGGTGTGCGTGATTCCACGTGTGTGCAGAGACGGGTGCATGTTGACACGTGTGTGTGCAGAGACGGATGCACGTGACTCCACGCGTGTGTGCATAGACGGGTGCGTGTGGACGTGTGTGTGCAGAGACGGGAGCATGTGGACACGTGTGCGCAGAGATGGGTGTGCGTGATTCCACATGTGTGTGCAGAGACGGGCGCATGTGGACACGTGTGTGTGCAGAGACGGGTGTGCGTGACTCATGCATGTGTGCAGAGACATGTGCCCATGACTCACACGACTCACACAACTCACACACGGACTGGCAGCCCTGAGCTGCTTCCCCAGAGGTCCCAGCCACAGCAGCCGGTGCAGACACTGGTGGGGCTGTGGGGTGGTGCAGGTTTTCTGCTGGGCTGAGGGTCCTGCAGGAGCCGGTTTCCCTCCCCCAGGCTCTCCATAAACAAGAGACAGAGGATTTGGGGGCAGAATCTTGCCCAGAGGCCCTGGAGCACCCTCGCGAGGCTGTGGCGTGAGGTGGTGGGTAACAGCGCTTTACAGAGCAGCCCCTCCTCTGGCCTTTGCTCCATGCATGCATTGGGTCACCAACATTCACCGAGCGTCTTTATGCCAGCCTCTGTGCCAGGAGCAGGGGACAGTGTGGACCAGGGGCCCTCCCGCCTGGAGCTGACCTCAGGGAGGCCAGGTGGACAGCCAGCAGGACACGGGCGTGGGTGTGGCCCTCAAAGGCCAATCCAAGAAGGGGTCGTGGGTGAAACCAACTGGGGCCCTGGGGAACAGCATTCCAGGCAGAGGGATGAGCAGGGCAGAATCCCTGAGGCCAGAACGTGCCCGGTGTGTCTGAGGACAGCATGGGGCCGGGTAGGGTTGGGGGGTGCAGAGGGAGACACAGACCCCCCACACACCGAGGGGGAAGGCAGCATGAGGACCAGCAGTAAATCCCAGTAGGGAAAACAGAAACAGAGATAAGCCACCAGGAAAAGATGAAAATCCTCAGGGACTCCAGCCCCAGGGTCTCCTCCTGGGTTTCCTGCCTGGGTGTGCAGGGGACATCGTGACCACCGTGTGCCCCACCCAGACTACCGATTTCAAAATGACCTTCAGGCCGGGCGCAGGGGCTCATGCCTATAATCCCAACACTCTGGGAGGCCAGAGTTGGAGAATCGCTTGAGCCCAGGAGGTTGAGCCGTGATCACGCCCCTGTACTCCAGCCTAGGCGGCGGATCTAGACCCTATCTCCAAAAAAAAAAAAAAAAAAAAGAAAGAAAAGAAAAGAAAAAGAGAAAGAAAACTTTGATTGTGATCCCCATACGGGGGTCCCGGGTGCACGGGGGTCCCTGCCGCACGGGGGTCCCGGACGCTGTGCCCAGAGGACATGATCCGATCCAGCAGAGTCCCGAACCCAGCACGCGGATGGGAACCTTATTTTAACCTGAGACACAAACGAGCCCCTTCTGGACCCTGGCTACGGCCCTGACCCTCCGGGCGGCCGGCTCCGCGAGGTCTCGGTCACCGGGCGACGCTGTGTCCCTGCGGGGTCTCCAGCTGGCTGGGGGCTCCCCGTGTCTTCATCTTGAGGACACCGTAGGGACGTTTGGGGGCTTAAAGCCACTGAAGACGTTTCTTTCAGATTTTTGTTTTTCATTTTAAAAATTGCATTTTCCAGCTACTTGCAGGTTTGTGAGACGGTTGTTTTCTTCATTTCAGAGATTCAAGTCATGGAACCTTTTCAAAGAACTGAAGGGGGATTCCCAAAGTTATTTTTTTCATCCGATACATATCAAGACGTCAAAGGGCTCTGTCCCAGTGACGAAGACAAAAGCAGGAACAGATGTGGGTCCAAGGAGGCCTGGCAGGTGGGGTGGGCACGAGGGAGCGGCTCCCGGGCGGCCAAGAGACTGAGGGATGCACGTCCAGCCCCGGAGGGCAGTGTCCGCCTGACTCCCAGCCCGAGCCGCCACCGCCTCCTCCCGGCCCGGCCTGCGCTGCCCCCTGGCGGTGGGGCCAGGAGCCATCCCAGCCTCTAACCCCCGCACCCCACCTTGGCCCCTGGGGCTCCCGCGGAGGGGCCCCCAAAGCCTGCCATTGGTCATAGGCATATGCAGCCAAGGCCTCCTACAGCCCTGAACTGGAGGGTGTCTGAGGTTCCGGCAGCAGCCCCCTCACTTGGGCATGGAGGCTGGACTCAGGCTGGGGTGGCAGAAAGGGAGCCCAGGTCTCTGGGTTTGATGAGGGCGGAGGGAGGGGCATGGGTCCTGGTAGGTCGCATGCTGCGGAGGTGAGGTGTTCCCATTTTGGAAACTGAGGAAACAGAGCTTGGAAGACCAGGGGGGTGGAGGGGAAGGGTCTGCACCCGCCCTGGAGTGGGTGACGCAGAAGTCCAGCCTGCCACCAGCTCTCCCAGACCCTCCCAAGCAAGCCGGTGTCTGTGCCCTCCGGGTGGGACTAGAGACCCAGGCCCTGCCACCCAAGGTCGGCACTCAGAGCCGGCTCGCTGGTGTCCTCTCTGCCTTATAGGTGGTTATGGGTCTATGGCATCTGGAAACAAGGGTTGGGGGGACAGCAGCTCCAGGGCTCCAAGTGCTGAGGGTTTGACCGCCACTGCCGGCGGCCTCGGAGTAGGCTTGGGGTCTGGGGTCCACAGGCCAGGGGAGGCTCTGCTCAGGCCCTGCTGTACTCCCACTCTGAGGACTGGGGTTCTAGGAAGAAGACCTTCATCTGCGGGGGGAGGAAGGAGGTGCCTGCGTGAGCTGCAACCCCCGTGCCCACAGCTCTGCCCTCAGGCGTGCGCTCACACTCATGGGCATGCTTGCATGTACACGCACACTCCCACCCCCAGGTACACCCCGTGCCCTCACAACACACTCCTTCCACACACCCCCAGCCCTCACCTTGGTTTTGAGCCTGCTGGAGGTCGAACCCACTTCGCACGGCACCCTAAGCAAGAGGTTCCCTTGGCTCGGAAACTCCAGGTTGTGTCCCTGATGGAGACCACATGCCCTGCCATGCTGCCCTCCAGGGAGTCCTGGGGACAGCGAGGGTTTGCAGGGAGGGCAGGGCGGGTCTGGGGAACCTGGCTGTGTATTCTTGACCACAGCCAGCTGGGCCCCTGGCAGGGACGGGCTTTCTGGGACCGGTGCTCCCCCAACCCTCTCCTGGAGCCCCGGCAGGTGCAGGACAGTAAGGCTGAGCTCAGCCTGGGGCGGCCCCACCCAAGACCCCCCACCCACACACACTGGGGTGCAGGGCCTCCTACCTCCCGGCGTTGCTGGGAACAGCGGCACCTGTACCAGGCGAACATGACCGTAAGAACCAAGAGGATGAAGACAGCAGTGACCACCACAGGCACAGGCCAGGACCCAGCGTTGGGGGTGGACTGGGGTTCTGCACCTGAAGGAGGCAGTTCAGCAGTGGACAGGTGGGTTGGGCATCCCCCACCCCTAACCTCCTCCTCCTGCACACCCCCTGGGGTGAGAATGAGCCCCGGAGGACTGCACTGCCCTTGCCCAGGAGGTACAGGAGTGGGAGGGAGCCAGGAGGAGAGGGGGCGCAGGACCACAGAGGTGGGAGGAGACCCAGGGCACGGGTGCCTCGGGGCAGCGAGGGAAACATCTACCCCTGGACGTGCGCTGGCCCCGTCCTTCAGGCCTTGGGGCTCTGGGGAAGAGATGCAAGGGCAGGTGCGGGGCCTGCCCTGATGCGGCCCCCACAGGGCCAGGTATGTGAGAAGCCCCATACCTGAGTCCAGGAAGGGCTCACCAGATGCCCTGGGGGTGGGGAGCAAAGCGGAACCCAATTTGGGTGACCCGGGCGAGTCAGAGCCTGGTGTGGTGAAGGTGGGAGGGCTGGGAGGGGCCATGGAGGCTCCTGAACTTGCAGGAAAGGAAGGGGAGGGGTGGGGAGTGGGTCTGGCGACTGGAGGGGTCTGTGGCCCCGCACAGTGGTGTGGCTGCTCAGGGCCTAGGGAGCAGGTGGGAGGGGCTTGGAGGGCAGCACAGAGGGCCCGGGGGGTGCTCTGCTGGCCATCACTGCTTTCTGGTTGAACCAAATAAGTAGCTGGCAGTGGCGGCTGTGGGCCCTGAGTCGGGGCAGAAGAGGCAGAGGGAGCAGTGGGCTGGGCGAGTGGGGACATGGGTGGGGGGTGGTCATGCCTGTGTCGGGGGAGCTGAGGCAGAGAGTGGGGCAGTCAGCATCCCCTGAGGGCAGGAGGAGAGGGGTGGGGACAGGGAAGGGTGGGGCTGGTCCCAGCCCTGAAGACAGGAGGGGCGAGGGCAGGTGTGGTCCAGGCTTTTGTTGAGGTGGACAGCAGGGGAGTGGGAGATGCGGGGCAGGACCGTGGTGGCCGGGGAGGCCCCTGTTCACGGTCACCAAGGGTGGTGGGCAGGTGATCTTGAGCACCTCTGGGTGACCCCAGTAAAGGGAGGGCAGGTGCCTCGAAGCCGGGCGCTGCGGGTCCGGAGGGCCTCTCAGAGCACAGGCATTTGGGGTGCAGTTTCCCTGCACAGCCGGGGTGGGTGTGGCAGGGAGGCGGGGGGTGCCTGGTTCCTGGCTGCACGGCGCGGCCCTCGCCCCGACAGGCAGGTGGGGTTCTTTAGAGGAGCAGAGGCTTTGTGTTCCGTGTTGTTGGTGGGGCTCGGGCTGCCTCTGTGGGTCTGTGCCCCCCAAGCCTCCGGCCTGTCCCCTGCCCCTCCCGAAGGGAGAACTGTCCCAGGAGGTCAAGAGGCCTCCACCCCGACTCTCCACCCCGGCACCCCGTCTCCTGGCAGCCCCGCTTACGCCTGCTCTTCCTCCTCCTCCTTCCCTCTCAGTCTCAGCCCTCCCCCTGCCCAGGCCCCCTCCCCTCCCTGTGTCCCCTCTCACTCCCCTCCCCCTTGCTTCCCCGAGCCTCCCCTCACCTGAAACCTCCAGCGTGACTTGTCTGTTATTTCTCTGGCGTCCCACGAGGTGCCAGGTGTACAGCCCAGCGTGGGAGTCCCGGGTGCCTTTGATCACCAGCTGGGCCACGCCTCCCTGAACTTGGAGCTGCCAGCCATCCCGGGAGAAGTAGCCTGGGGCCACCTCATTGAAGATGGTGCTCTCCTGCCCCTGGGCACGCAGCTTGATGATGACATGGGAGAAGGCGTTGGATATGTTGCAGGACATGACGGTGTTCTCGCCCCGAGACACAGAGACCACCCCCTCTGTGCAGATGGGGCTGTCCCAACCTGTGGGGCCAGACAGGGGCAGGCACGGATCAGGGCTGGGCCTCAGGGCACTGGCTGGCTGCTGTGCCCAGGGCCAGGACCGGGGCAGGAGACAGGGCCTCTAAGGGACATGATGAACTATGTATACATCCATCCGACCCAATCAGCACATATGTCTTGTGTGGGAAGAATAAAATAGCAGCCAAAAAGAAGGGTGGCTGTGTGTGTGTGTGT